TATATATATATATATATATATATATATATATATAATATATATTTTGTTTCATAACACGTCAACCTCTGTCAATAATTATTATATAGGCCTATAATATATATATATATATATATTATATATTATATATATATATAAAATAGATAATAACACAGTGCTCAAATATATAAGAATATGATATAAAATCGGATCAAACATTGTTCATCAACGGAATTTATTAATTCAATATAAACGAAATTTTACTCGTGGCCTCGTTAAAAGTTAAAAACGATTAGGCCTACAGTAAAAAAATATAGATTCACAAAAGACAAGTTACAGTCCCTTGCTAAATGTACAATTCATCCCATTATACTAGCCTGTTGTTTTCTCCCTTGTCTTCCTCTTTATGCTGCACATAGAGATACCATTTTCGATTTTTTTCGACTTTTTTATTTCTTTATTTTGGGTGATTATTCTAAATTTGGAATTAGAAATTTTACTGGGCGCCTGGGGACCAGCAACGCTTAACTCATGTGAGGGTGATTCGAGGAACCGAGAGCGATCAGACTCCAATTCAAACCCGACGCTAGCCGGATTTTAACCGAGGATTTTAGTACATGAATACCCCTTACACTTCACTTGACGAAGACCGACGAAGATATACCGCCGTAATAATTATTATGCCTACAAGTGACCTACGAACAGGCTAGTTTTTACATTCAGAAACGGTTTATACAACGTCGGTTATACTGAGATATTTTAAAATAGGTCTATATTGGCCTAGCTTGAGGGATAAAAACAAGGTTGAGTAGAACTAGGTCTAAGTAAAGAAATATGCCTATATTGGCCTAGCTTTGGGATAAAAACAAGGTTGAGTATTATTGGATACGTTAATCAATGCGGTACGATACTAAATCGATTAACAGTATACCTAATCGTAGGATTTCAAACGAGCGGACAACTCTGTCGTTAGTAATTGTGAAAAGTAGAGAGTAACAAAGTGAACTAGATTTGTAAGTACTGCACAGTATTATTGGTAATTAAAATCAACGTTGTGTGCTGATAGCCTTTTCACCACTCAGTAAATGAGCTTTGGCCAAAGTTTCTGAATCACAGACTACCAGTAGCACTGAATCTACATGCTGTCAATATTTTTTTAATTTGAAAAGACGGAGAACTGCTTTGATTGTTTATTTTTATGGTGTTTGCATAATAAAACAAAATATAACTCTAACGGCACCATTTAATAATCTTAATCTCAAGGCCTGTGGAGAGAACAAGTAAGTTACGTACGTTCGTAAGTAAGTAAATAAGTGGAGTAAATACATTTGTTCCAGATGAACAAAACAAATATAAATATAAATTATTTACGTCTTTATAATTAATTTATAGATCGTTACTTCCATTTTGTGGTCTTGGCCTTGTATTGAATGACTTATAATTTATTTTAAAAATATTATACAGTATTTCAAGGTAAAGGCATTGTTTTAGGAATTTCCGAGAAAAACAATTAATATATATGTTTATTGTATTTCAGGCGGTGGTTTTCACACAGTACTTGTAGAAAGAGCTGTCTTAAATGAAGGAACCGAAGATGAAGTGGTAAGCTAGTTCTTTTGTTGGTGGCGCTATTTATAAACGCAGGACATGGAGTTTAGGATATGAAGCGCCTTTGAATCAAAGCCTTAAGGAAAGCGAAATAAAATCTAATAAAACTGTACTGTAATAGGACGTTTTCAAAATCGAAACTTTTGATAGACTTGGCTCCGCTAATTTTAAGCATGCGCATGCGAAATTATACGCATAACTGTTATTGCGTTGTGTTAAAACAGATGAAAAACAGACCAAGTCTGTTAGCTCACAGAAACCTGAAGTTGGTTAATTATCTGCATACGGTCTCTTACGTCATATGTTGCCGATTAAAAAAAAACAAAACTCCCCATTGCTAAATAAAATTGGTAGCGTTTGTGTTTATTGCCGATTGCTACCAAGCACCCTTGCAACATTTAAGCAGCGTGAAATTTATCATCTTTTTAACCGTGACTTTATTAATTTTCTCGTGAGTCGATCATTTTTGTTTATCGATAACTCATGTGACGGTAAATAAAATAAAGCAGATACGTCCCCAAAACAAACAAGTTTACCTGTCGAAGTTTAGGACCTTCGCATCAATATCTATAGAGCGGGGCTTAGCGTAAACGTCCGTTACCAACTACAGTACCCGGTAGTAGGCCTACCAGTTCCCTGGGCCTACTTATTACAGTATTTAACATCTTTAACACGAAATATAGGCTCAAAATCAAACATAATATATATTTATTACGATAGGCATTAAAATCTACTTTACAGCAATTGCTAACTCCGATCATTAGAACACTTTAGAAAGGCATACACACTTTAATAAGTACGAATAACTGTCTCATTGACTTCTTAATTTAGATATCATCAAGTGTCGTAATCGACAGCTAAGTCAATTGTGTTTATACAAAAACCAATAAGTAGTGCAGTGTCTCTGCTTTCAAGACCCATTTTATCATAGGAAGTGTCTCCTCAGGCGGACGCGTTGCTGCATATACAGTACTGTGCAGCAACACATATGAATCAAAACGTGAATGGCACAAATATTTTTACCTGTAAAGAAATTGCACGCGTCTTTGACATGTTTGAATTTTGTGTATGTCTTTGAGCGGTTCAGTTGTATGTAGTGGGTGCGCCAGGGCGCACGCCTCCCCCCCCCCCCCCCCCAAAAAAAAAAAAAAAAAAACCCCACCCCCAACACCCCACCCTTAAGTAGATAAAATCACCATCACCGTATTTTGCGATCTAGCGTCCCCTTACTTCATCATCGATCCCCCTCCTCTCCACATTCGCCCCCATCAATTAGCACCCCCACCCATTAGCACCCCGATTTAAAGACTCCTATATACGCCACTGGCGCAGTTAGCTGCATCAGATCCGGTTCAGGCTTTCTCGAGTTGTCAAGGTTCGAATCTCGCTGTGAGGTCGGATTGTGTCTGTGGAAGGCACTTTCTCCCACGTTGGTCTCTTAACACCTCGGAGTTCATACCAAACGTCGTATCTTGAGCATGTAGGGATATCAAATTATTTTTCTAGAAGCAATTGATTTATGGACAGTGTATAGATTATTTTTATTCCATTGGGTAAACCGTTTCCATACAAATAAATCGTCGCGTTAGTCAGAACGACATTATAAAAACAACTTTGCAAATGACAAAACATTCTGTAAGATTTCTTCCAACGTTTAAAATTCATTAACACGCAGAACAGTATCTACACTCCGCATCACCCTCTTATAAGGTTGATTCTATTAGAATATTACTCATATTAAGCAAATCTTAAATCTAATGTAAACAACTACTTTAAGATCTTAGTAAATTTACTGACTTGGTTGTGCTGACGTTGGTTCTTTTGACAATTTCACCATACAAATTTTAGGGTAAGGCCATAGATCATAATGTGAGTAACGATTATGTTACTGTGGAAACGTTTATTGATATTTATTTGCAAGCGTACGGTTGCCATGGTTGTGAATTTTGCAAACCATAACAAATCATTGTCTCAAACACTGTGAAAATCCGTGGTTGAGTATCTTCATGACAGTATATTCATGCTTGTCCGATGTTTGTGTCAGGCGATTGATGGGAACGATGTTTTTGCCCTACCTGACATGTGATCATTAAGTACGATAACACGTCGTTGTTATTATCAGGCTTACGGTACTATACTAATGAAACCGATCATTATTTTGCTTATTTTAAAAGCACTACACAAAATAATTTACATATCATATCATAACAATACCCCTCCTACTTCGTTATGTTGACATTGATTCAATTGCCCCTTACAAAGTTAGTCAAAAGCCAATGCCATGTATCCGTCGCATACTACGATGCTAATAG